TGAAGAAGAAGGCTGTATAAGCACAGATCCCTTTGTCTTTAAATATTAAAATAAGGAACTTCTTTCAAAAAAATATTTTTGTCTTTTTGTGATTAATGAAAAACAAAGTACCTAGGTACAAAGCTTTGTTGTTCATTAGCATTTTTATTTATTGATTTGATCATAATTTTACTTTATATATTATGTACTTATTTTCTGCTGTTTAGTAAAATAGTGAAAGTATTAAACTAAATTCTTGATGTTTATTTAATATTTTGTCTCTTTTTCTTATAATTTTTGTCTTTAAGTACAATAAATATAATCTGCAGTAAATTGCTGAATTTATGTTATTTGAGTGTAACGTGTGATTCAATGGCGAGTTGACTATTAACACTTCCAGTAATTCTGAATTCAAAGCCAACAGAACTAGAAAATATTAAATTAATTATGAAAAGATTAAGGCAGCGCAAAATTAAATAAATTATTAAACTGCAATATAAACGGATTCAAATTAAAACGAAGAATTTGTTGAGCGAAGCAAATCAGTATTCATTTAATTGAATAAATTACGGAACAATGCGGCACCCTAACAACATTTTTGAAGATCATTTGACGCCATTTTAACTAGGTGTTTAGGCAGGGTAGAATGCCCAAAAAAACTTTTTTTCACAATCTTTGACAGGAACAGGATCGAAGGTGCATTTATGGCTCGTCCACAGATTAAATCAAAGATGGGGTCGATTGATACGGTTTAGAATTGGATTGTAGGCAATTTATTTTTTCCGAGTATAATTTTCGAGTCAATTGGGCTTATACTGGTATCAGTAATTTCAAATCGATTTAAATTTATTCATCATTAAATACATTAACTAGGTAGCTGTTTTCTACTCGATTCAATTCGATGTACATATGTACATTGCGCTTGTTCGTATCACTGGATACTGCAGATAGAAAATATTCACAATCAAGCAATATGGCCGAACTATAATATATTTACCGGAGACTTTTGTACTTTTTAGACTTTTTTACTGGAAACAAGGCATTCCATCTTAGTCCTCATGGGTGACAACGCATCTGCACTTTGATTCGTAATCGAGGATAGATGTAGATGTCTATGGACCATAGCAACCACTTACCATCAGGTGGACTGTGTGCTCGTTTGTCACCCTTATACTATAAAAAAAATATAGAAGAACGACATAAAATAATTAAGAGCATACTTTTTATGAAACCGAGCAGCAATAAACACATTTAGAGGGGAATTGACGACCGCAGTACCGGACGAGTCGCTTTTTTAGTGCTGCTGCCCGTCGCCTGCATGGGTATATGTGACTTGTGTAAATTTGGTTATACCGCCATCTATTGAGAGTTATTATATTTTTTTTTCATTTCCCATAGTCAACATTCACGACACCCACCGGACGATATGGGGAAGTGGATAGTGAAATTAATTTACAAATTAGTACTACCAAGCCAATTAGTGAACACCGCCAATGCGAACTAGAGCATCGGGGTCCATAATCCTCTCAGATATGAGAGTTCTACCCAGAGGATCATGGGAAGGACTCGTATATAGGCTGTAACTTTGCTTTCATTTACTTTCTAGTATAAACTACGCTTTTTATAGGAATAAGGGTGATAAGGGAGCACACAGTCCACCTGATGGTATGTGGTTGCTATGACCCATGGACATCTACATCTATCCTCGTTTGTGACTCGATGCACTGTCACCCGTGAGGACTAAGATGGAATGCGTCTTTTCCAGTAAAATCGGTCTTCGGTTCTTTACATTCATCATACGAAACACAACAACAAACGTTTGCCAGAAATATTTGACAGCTGGCATGTTCTTGACAAGACATTTTTTTATTAATATTTCTGGCAATGTAATGAAGACGTGGCTTAAAGGACAAACATCCAATGCTTGGTCCTTTAAGCCATTTCATTCGGGATCTCCGTCTTTATAGATTTTTAGTATCAAGTGATAATAATCCTTTAGATTTTCCTTTACATTGCGTAGTTTTTTGGAGATTTCGACAGCAATTTGAGCCAGCAGACAATTGGTGACAGTATCTCAGACACCTTATTTTGAGATTGACATCACCGTCAGAGCACTTGTTTCAGAGCAGTGTTTCCACTAATAGTTCGCATGCGCAGACATTTAATACATAAAATCGTACCACTTTTACATATCAAAATCCACTTCAAACCATAAGCAATCTGCAGCAATCTGCCGCCGCGCCGCGCCGGTCAAGTTCCCGCCAAAACTCCGTCAAGACATAATTATGTATGTATGACATAGATTAAAAAATAGATAGGTTTTGGATGATAATAAAATATTACAAAATGAAGCTACATATGTTCATTGTATTAATTTTAATATGTCGCTGTCACAAATCTTCGATATAATGGATATAGCAACGTTATAAGACATCTTGATTGCGTTCATATAGTTTTAAAAACCTTAAGTACAATCTACAAGGAATTATACCTCGACAAATCAGCCCGATCTCTCCAAAATGGGCCCAAATGTTTTCTGTAATCACCGTGGAATATTAATAGAGACATTTCCCGTCCGGCTGAGAAGCTCTCTATGCTTGAGTAGTAAAAAAAACGTATAAAATAAATGGTTTATAAATGAAATAAATAAATAAAAATAAAAATACACCACCTCCCTGTCGTCGGGCGAGATATGAATTTCGGATAGGCGAACAGAAGCTGTAGTGGAATGGTAGTGGAAGTAATTGTTTTTACCAAAATCATAGTCAGGACTACTAATAATATATTTGTACTTATACAGTTATAGGTATTTTTGACTTGAATATTTATTTCAGACAGGTGAAAGATGTTGTATCTTCAAAATTACAATTTTACATTGTAAATCACTAGTACCATAACATGTCTGCATTGCAGCAAAGTCATTTGTATAGTGTAATTTAATTCAATAATAACTTACAGCACATAAGTAAGTTGTTAATATTATTTTTACGTTTCTTTTCTTTTTATAAAAAGTAACCTCCACACTAGAGGTTTCTTCTGTATCGTGGGGGAAGTTTACAAACTAAAGTTGCACAATAACAAACATCTATACCCGGAACAATTCTTTTTAGGCCATACCTACAAATATTCGGGAATCGAGCCCGCGTAGCGCTCCAACTCAATTTCTAAGCCATTTTGCCACGGAGCCGTCAAATGTTGCACTTAATAATTTTATTTTTGAATGTCTGCTGGTGGGACCACTAACCATTATGTTACCAAAATAAACAGATTTCATTTGATTTGGACTGAAAGGTCATTTTCACTCTAATATTATTAACCAAAAGACTAATAACGCAATTTTTTATTGTTTGGAGCATAAGATGTAGTAGGTACTATGGATACAAGTATGAGATAGTAATAAATTAAAAACCAAAAACCTACAATCTGCACTGCGGTTCAAAGATTGGATCCAGTAGGTTTTCAAAACCTAGACATAACAAATGCGGCCACCAACATTCAGGTAGTTTAATAATATTTATTTTTTTGTTCATCAAATTTTTTTTAAAAATATTTTAAAAATAATTTCGACTCCACTGCTACCCTGTCGAGAGCGACAATTACAAAAAAATCTGATAGTATCAGAGCTAGCTAATTGGTGCTCATAAATTACACTCGCACACCTCTCGCTTTAATGTATGTCTGTTCGTCTGTCTCTATAGCCCAAGACGTTAGTCGAGGGCGTGACAGAAGATTTTGATATCTTTACATTTATTTTAATCGTTTAATTTCATTTGTAAAAGCATAAATAAATTTGATTTATATCTGTTCTTCTTTTTACCAGCTCTAAATTCACTACTGGGACCTATGCCATTTTAGAAAATATTTGCCTTAATCGCCACGTGAGCGCATATATAGATGTATGGCACCTTTGACACTGCGGCATGTCGTCAGACTGGGTATTTTATATCTGGTAAAAAAGAATCACTTTCACCTATGGGAACCAATAATATCTTTATGGTTTTTCCCATTTGTCAATTTCGATTGCCACGGGGCGAAATAGGATGCTGAATTCTATTAAGCTGTTACCACATTTAGGTACTATTTTTATTAATTCATTTGTTCCTACTCGGTCTCTCCATAGAATTACTAAGGACTATTTTTTTTTTCTTTTAACATAAAACGTTACACCCACACTAGGATTTTCTCCTGTATTTTGGAGGCTTAATTGCACAAGGACAAACATCCAGAGCTGCAAATATAATTTGTAAAAAAAATACTGTCAAAAAAAGTTAATAAACTAAAGTGTGTATAAAGTGGGTTCAAATATTTTCAGAAATTTTATCATCGTGACATTTATGTTTGTTGCGGTGCTGGCACTATAATCAACGGACCGAACCCAGCACAATATCTCCTATTTTGCATTTACGGCAAAAGCTGATAATTTTTTTGGACAGGCAAATAATTGCTTTACATAAGCAAAAAAAAATAGTTAAGTGCAAAGCATATTATGTAAGCTGACACGGAAAACATAAACGTTATATGCATGCTAGATAAAATACACTAACATGCTGACGGACGCTGAATAAAATAAATTTGACATATTGATTTTATTTCTGCTAAATATAAATTATTACCAATCAACTTGTTTTATACCTTTATTGTAAGACTCATTAACAATAAAATGTATGTGTATATTTCATTTAATGTAACTTTATAAACAGATTAAAATAGCAACCAACAGATTAAATATAAAATTTAGAAAAACTACTGACATTACAAATCAACCAATTTAAAAATTACTAACAATACTCCAATCGTCAATACAATTTCTACTAACGATTTCAACTTAGCTTCGACTTCTCTAAGGAGTTGATTTACAATAGTTTAATGGCGTGAACAATTTGAAACTAAAGCGTACTTACTTCGATTATGTTCCAGATTTTCAAAATGATTTTCAATCTGTTCATCGTTTTGTTATTTGTAAATATTAATTTTAACACCAAAATAATATTAGAATATTTTTAACGAACTACAGTACGAACCTTTCGTCGCATCTGCAATGCATAAGTGTGTTCACTCGCCAATTATAAAGTCCGTATTTCTTCTCCATACCACCAATCCAGAATGGGCATCTCAGGTCATGTACGCGGCAACACCGATCCGTTCTAGTGTAACCCCCAAGTTGCGAGTAATGTGTCGCCGAAAATCCTTTACCGCACCACTTTGTGCCAGGCACACGTAGAATCTCCATGGCGTCACGCTTTTTTCTGTTAAGTTTTTTTTTTAAATATTTATTTAAGGACATGCTGTCCCTACAGCCAATTTATTTTACTATATGTTAGTAGGCAACAGTAATCTTCCGAATATTTTTAACGTCAATGCAATGAATTCTTTTTTTTTATTCGGGATAATGCAATCTTCTTGGTATTAGTGGACCACCTACGAAATTTTATGGTAGTAAATAATAATCGTTATAAATCGGTCATAGGATTGAATTGAGCTATAAAGTCGGCGCATCGTCGAACGATCCATAGATCACACAATTTTATTAGTTTATTGCGGCGCACTTAGGGAACGATACAAATAAAACTTGTCTATGGGACCGCTAATTAGATTATGCGGCGAACTGATATCTTTCGATCAGGGCTATGTGAAAACAGAGGAATTAGTTCTATAAAAGGGTTACACATATACATTTATAATCTATAACATATAAAAATGTAAATTGCATATGTTTTTACATTTTATATTTTTGTAACAAAAGTGATTGAGAGGAACTAAAAATAATTAATTAATGTCTATCATTTTTAGAATTGTCTGTCTGTCTGTCTGTTTATGAACGTATGCTGTAAAAGTACTGCTTTATTTCAAAAGAATAGTTAAGAAAATTATAAAGCGTAGCTTTGAGTTACATTACATATTACTTTTTGTTTTATTAAAATCGGTTCATTCTATCGAAAATTATGAATAATATTGTGAATTATGGGTATTATTGGTTGAGACATCAGGTGCATTTTAAACTAATTTGACAATATTTTAATGAATTGTTGGAAACACGCTTCTGAATTTAGTTGAGTGAATTATTAGAAATAAAAATATATCGTAATACAAGAAACAATGCACATACAATAATCACCATCAACACTAGGTACACACAAAATTTTGTCACAGAATATAATTTACTTTCTGTTCTTATGAATATCGCAGGGATGTTGGTAACTACAGAACACACTGGGATGCTGATGGTCTTTCCTGACTATCTTACCCTGGGCAGAACGGTAACGTATCATCCTATGCTTTTGAATTTTTGAACAGAGTATTAGTAATTGGTTTGCCCATCCGCGCGTCTACGGGTGCCTCTATAGGTCCCATAGCGGTAATGCCGAAACAGACCGACTCTTCGACCACGTCAAAATGGCTACAGATTCCTTGCTACAACAGGTCCCATCCGCAGAGATCGTGATCTTTGGCGATTTTAACGCCCACCACGCTGAAAGGCTCGGTTCACGTTTAACCGATCATGCGGAGAGATCTGTTTATGACTTTGCCTTGGCATATGGTCGGACACAACTGGTTACTTCGCCTACGGGGATTCCAGATGTGGAGGATCATACACCTTCCCTGTTGGACCTTCTGTTGACTTTTGATATCAAGTTTCCGTCGATGCCCCTCTCGGCTCTTCGGTCCCTTGTCAGATCCGGAGTGTGGTGCCACTCACGCTCCCCTAGCGGTTGCGTTATGCAGGTTGCCGCCGTGTTTGGCATTACAGGTCGGCGGATTGGGTCGGAATGCGGTCTTTTTTTATAGGATCCATGTAGTCCACCTGATGGTATTTGGTTGCTGTGACCCATAGACATCCACATCGATCCTCAATATAGAATCAAAATGCAGATGCGTTGTCACCCGTGAGAACTAAGATAGAATGCCTCTTTTCCAGTAAAAAGGGTCTCCGGTTCTCTACACTCACAGTAAGAAACACAGCAGTGTTAAGCTGCTATTTAACGCTGGTATTCTGTTAGAGCGTGGTCTTTCCCCGGTCGAGCCGACCCATTCGTGCTACAATTATACTACTAATATAGCTGCAGCATGACTCTACCAGGTATAAACGTCTTTCCTTGCATCCTACCCATGGGTATACTTCTTGCCGGATGATCCCAGCGCTATTTGCTGACTCTGTCACTGATGTGGTGCTACAGGGAATGGAACTATTTATTCCATCATCTGTGGTACCCATCAGAGGCAGATCTCAGCCTTGGTTTGGTCGCTCCTGTAAGGCTGCACAGTAAGTAAGGAGTGTTATCAGGCCTGGGCTGAGGCTTCGGCGACTCGAGATGTAAACACCAGCATCCTTAAAAAGAGTATAAATTCGTCTCCAGGTTCTTCAAAAGAGTTATTGCCACGGCAAAGTCATAGCAGATGGGCAGAATTGGCGAGAAACTAGTTCCCCTTCCTTCAGGAACCCGTGCATTCTCGTTTCTCGCCAAGGCTGTCTTAGAGAATTTCTGTAAGCCGTCACTACCATCTCTGTACAGAGAGGACGACTCACGGGCCCACGCCGCAAAAGAGAAAGTCGACCTTTTAGGCTCCCTTTTTGCGTCCAACTCGACTCTTGATGACGGGGGGAACTCACCGCCGACCATCCCGCAGTGTGAGTGCTCCATGCCGGATGTACGGTTCTCACAGCGCTCAGTTCGCAAAGCACTCCTCTCCTAGACATTCACAAGTCGATTGACCCTGACGAAATCCCCCAATTGTGCTGAGGACGTGTGCTTCAGAGTTGGCACCGGTTCTATCACGTCCTTTCCGGTACTTCACTCCGTAGGGGTAGTCCTAAAATCATGGAAGACAGCTTTTGTCCACCCAATCCTTAAAAAATGCAATCGCTCAGACCTGCCCAACTACAGGCCTATCGCCATCACCTCCTTGTTCTCCAAAATAATGGAATCTATTACAAAATGCCAGTTCATGCGGTACCTTGAGGATCACCAGCTGATTAGTGACCGCCAACGCGGTTTTCGTTGGGGGCGATTAGCTGGTGATCTTCTGGTCTACCTGACTTATAGATGGCCGGAGGCAGTAGAGTCCAAGGCATTGGCCGTTAGTTTGGACATTGCGAAGGCCTTCGATCGGGTTTGGCACAAAGCGCTTCTTTCGAAGCTTCCTTCCTATGGGTTTCCTGGGAAATTGTGCAATTGGGTTACCAGCTTCCTTGCAGATTGGAGCATCAAGATCGTTGTAGATGGTGCATGCTCTGACTACAAGCCTATTAACGCCGGTGTTCCACAAGGCTGCGTGCTATCACCAACGTTGGAATGGAATGGAATACTGTTACCATATCTAGGCTGGGGCTCCTCAGTGCCACCTCCTTCCACTTGACCGCATCCAGCGCAGAGCGGCTCGAATCTTCGACGACCGAGTCCTTTCCGATCGGCTCGATTCATTGGCGCTGCGAAGAGACGACCCCTTTGCATTTTACCACGGGGAGTGCTCTGAGGAATTGTTCGGATTAATCCCAGCCGCCAAATTTCACGAACGCACATCGCGGCAGAACTTCCGATACCATCCACACCATCTGGAGGATTGGCGGCCCACCACTGTGCGATTTAGAAGATGTTTTCCTCCTTGCACAACTTCCTTGTGGAATCGATTACTACCAGCGATTTTTCCGGACCGATACGACTTAGGGACCTTCGAGAAAAGAGCCTACTCCTTTTTAAAAGGCCGGCAATGCATCTGCAATTCCCCTGGTTCCACTGGTGATGTAGTTGTTCATGGGCGGCGGTAGTCACTTACCATCAGGTAAGCTATATGCTCGTTTGCTCCCTCTCCTATAAAAAATACTAGAATCAACCACAGAGTTTTAAATAGTTTTGATATCATATCTCTATTAAAATAATAAACCCAATAAACCTTCAATCTCAGAGCAATGCGCGGTTCGGAATGTTCTTACATTATAACTAAAAAGACGTTGATTGGACGCAAGGCTTTATGATTTAGAACTACAATAAAGAAACCCCTGTATATCTTTAATGACCATCTATACGGGGAATAACTTAACGTTTAATGTAAGACTTGGATCTTTGGGGATACATTGAAATGTTGTAGTTTTGTACACACATTGTAATGTTTTATTTATGTATTGTACAAAACAGTCGGACGGTTTATTTTAATTCTATTTTTTTGCACTTTTTAACTCTTTTTTATTTTTCTACTTTTGGAATATCCGTAGCTTAAAGTTTCGTTAACTTAGCCGCAATGAAATCTGTCAAATATGTCATTCGAAAGTGGCGTCGTCCTACTAGAAAGAGTCGTGGGTGCTCTCATTAGCGAATAAAACACTATATCGCCATATTATATTTTCCTATAAAATATTGCAATTACAAAATCACAAAAATAAATAAAATGAAATTGTATGTGCTTTTTCGATTTTTTCTTTCTCGACAAATTCTGATGACGTCATATAACGCGGCGCGTTCGGCGCGTGCTGATACTCAGTGTTGTCTAATGTTGCTAACTTAGTGAATTTTCCACTATAACTGGTAGTTTCGACTTACATGATAATTTTTGTATTTTTATAATTTTTAATTCATTCGTAATTAATTATACATAATTAGAATTTTTTTCGCATCGATTATCAATATGCATTCTTAGCGATAAATTATTTAAATACTGAACTAACAAAAAACTAGTTAAATTTAATTCAAAAACCCAATTATATCTGATTACTTAATGATGATTAAAAATCCTTCAAACATACAACAACACTTTTCTCTGGTTCAATTGGCTTTCTAAATCTTGAGTTCTCCATAGAAATACATGGTTTTTGTATATGTAGAAATTCTTGAAATTTTTTGTATGTTAAATGCAAATATCTAGAAACATCGTTCATCATCATCTAATAAGTCTTTAAATAAAGTATATCCCCTTCATATTTTCCATACAATTGCCTTTTTAAAGTAATATTATGAATCCAGAATCTTCTTTTTCTTCGAATTTAATTTTATTCTTCCTTTGCCAATAAGCAGGCTATTAGTATATTTATTTCCATAGTGATTTCGAGCGATCAATTTCACTGTACCGTTCATACCCGTGGTTGGAAAAAACTTCAAAAGTTGTTGGCAATACAAAAGATTTGCGTACGGCGCGGACGATCCGTACGGGTAAATGTGCGAGGCCATCAGTAAAAGTGGGCGCGTACGGCGCGTACGATGCGTACGGTGCGGACAAATGTGCGTTCAGTTTTAAGCTGCTATTTAGAGCGTGGTCC